TTAGTTATTTAATTCGCAAGAACATTTCCCCATGAAATCGAGCTCCAAACACAACATTGTGACAGTCATGAAGCCTGTGTTCTCGGACATAACGTGCAAGAGGTGGTATGCCAGATTCACCATCATATTATTGTTTTCTTGAAAGCAAACTCTCAAGAGCACTTGATTAAACAATGTAATCTTTAAGATTGATCTTTGCGACGTTTGCAATGTGCTGAACGTTTACTTACCCATAGCGCTGCACGTTTCTCAATCTGTCATCAGCAGATTGTGGCCCAATAACAACATGCCCATAACGTCGATGATAGACGCCGCTCTATACGCCCAAGGGCAACAACTTCAACCCAGGACAGTTTAGTCAGAACGATTGCATTAAGATATAGGTTGCAAACTGCATTTGGATAAGGGACATATTGCAACTGGAGAAAGAGCACATGCCCATATGTGTCATCCCATAACTTACTGCACGTAAAATTGTTTTTGGAGACGTCCTAATGAGCGTTTTATGGTCGTTGAAACTGTACAGTCTCATCGTTTATGGGTTTGGGTCCAAAATGTTGTAGGGTGGTATCACAATGACTGGCCGGACTGCGTACCTTATTGTCCATGGCAGAATCGTAGGCCAATACTATTGGGACATCATTGCACCAGATCCTGCACGTGCTCATCGTGCCAGGAATGTGACCCCATTTCTCCAACAGCAAAACATCAATGTAATGCCAAATCAAATTCAAAAAGCGTTTAGTAGCAGGAATGGAAACATGAGTCTACTACTATGATCCCGAGTCAAACGTCATGGAATGTCACCATTCCACTTTTGCAGCAGCATCAAAAAAATTCTTCAAGATCAGTGAAGAAAGTTATGGCCACTGTATTCTTGGATGCAAAGAGTGTTATCCTTGTTGATTGCTTTGAAAGTCAAAATATGATTACCAGTGCCTATTATGCTGATTTGATTCATCGCCTGAGGTATTTTGTCAAAGAAAAGCTGTGAGGAATACTACTTCATGAAAATGCCTCTTCTCACACACCTCGACATGCAAAGGCTAATGTGTGACAATGTGGGTTCGAAGAGCTTCCTCACCCTCCATACTCTCTAGATCTGGCACTAAATGATTTCCACCTGTCTCCTAAAATGAAACAACACCTTCGTTGAAAGTGCTATCACAACGATGACCTCAAAGCTGGCATGAATGGGGTATTCAGGGTGGCTTTAGAAAACGTCGTCCCGACCGGAATTGAAAAGCTTCACTATCGATATGAGAAATGTATTCAAAAACAGGGAGATTATGTTCACAAATATAATTAACAGCACTTTCACAATTGTTGGTTTGTTAGGCGTAGAACCTTTTTTACCAGCCTTCGAATACTACTTTGAAAAATAGATTGTAACATCATTAATGCAAATATTGTATTCAAAATATGGTCGATTTGCACTTCAGTTCTGTCTATCAATTTCAAAGGCTGAAACGAAAATATACCGGAGGCGGATATGGAGGCTCTACATGGTCATGTTGAACATGTCGCACAGGCTGACATCCAAGAAAACAAACCTTTTCTTGAACACGTTTAACGCTAAGACACTCTTCTTTCCACAATTAAACACTTACCATTTGTACAATGTTCTTTCCTTCGCATGAGTAGGATTAAAGGGAAAAATATACTATAAAATATAAATTGAATCGACATATCATAGACTGTGAATCCTTGTCACTTACAAACGTGTTACCAAGAACGGATAACATTTATTCGTGATGGAATTGCTACCACATGCCAAGATTGACAAGAAATCAGCGACACCAAGCCCCTGGACGATTGCAAGCTGGACAAACCGCCCAGCAAGTAGCAAATGCATTTCAAGTCCACGTAAGGACCATATACAGGCTCCAGCAATGGTACCAGACCATCAACACTACAGATGACCGACCACGTAGTGGAAGACCAAGGGTCACCACCCGACGTCATGAAAGTCAGATTGTGCAACAGCATCTTCAAGATCGCTGTGTTACTGCTGTGGAAACGTGCTCTACAAGCCATGGGGACACAACAGTGACACATCAGTGCGGACACCGTGCATCGACGATTGACGAGCAGACACTTCCACTGTCACAGGCCACACCGAGGACCGATTTCAGTGGGCAACACAGCACCAGCATTGGCGCCACCAGCACTGGAAAAGAGTCCTCTTCTCAGACGAGAGCCGTTACTATATCTCAACAGCAGATTGCAGAGAGAGGTCATGGGTCATATTATTCGGATGCTCGTGTTGTTGTGAGAGACTCGTGGGGTGGTCCGAGCATCATGGTGTGGGATGGAATAGTTCTTGCACAGAGGGTCGGTCCTGTGGTCTTCCAGAACATTGGCCAAGGGAGAGGCAATGGTATCACAGCAGCTCGGTCCATTGATCAAGTATTGAGACCACACACCATACCTCATTTCGCTGCCGCAACCACGGGTTTCAGCATGATAACGCCCGTGCCCACACTATGAAAGCAACAAGAGACTTCCTCCAGCAGAATGGCATCAGAAACATGCAGTGGCCTGCCCTCAGTCCCGATTTAAATCCCATTGAGCACCTGTGGAACAAGATTCAAAGACAGCTGAATGAAGCCCGACCAAGACCGACAACTGAAGTTGAACTGCGTCAGTCGTTCCTCAGTGTGTGGGCTCAAGTGCCTATGGCCTTCATCAACCGCCTCATCCATTCCATGTATCGACGTTGCGCGGCCGTCATCAATGCACATGGCGGACACACGAGATACTTTTGCGGTTCAGTTTAGATGGGTTTATAAATGCTTCTGACAGTCCGACATGAGTTAGTATTTTTTACTGTTGCTATCCATTTGCATCATTGTCTTGTATCAAATATTCTATAATTATATGACATATTAGATAACTTTGTGGGTCCGTTAAAATTCATTAATTAAGGAGATCATCTGTTTAAGTAATTTGGTTTTGAGTGATTCACTGCCAAGTTCCCGATAAACCATAAAATTGGATTTTGAATTCCTCAGATCAATTACTATTTAAAAAAAATTCAATTGCAATTTATCTATTATTTCTAAACCTTCAAAACCCCATATTTCGGAACAGAAGAGAGGGATTGGCACTACCATGACATCAAACGCCTTCAACAGACATTCTAATGGTAGGATAACATTTCGTGCTCATTTCATTAGGCAGTACATTACATTTGTTGCGTTTGTTCTTAGTGATTTCATACAAAACACAATGTGTAATTATCAACAATTTCCAGTATCTTTTCCTCAAAATAAAAGATTGATTTGGTTGATTCGACTGGGCCACTTCCAAAGGATATTTACATTTAGCTTCCATTGTAAGCAATATTGATTAAAGGAATCTAATGATCTTTGTAATCAAAATTGTGTATCGCTAAATAAGACTCATACTAAAATGTGTAACCACACTGTGATGTCATTTCTTGATATACAAGCAAATAAAATCCCTTTGAATCCTTGTTTTATTCCTGTGCTTCATGCACAGTCTTCATCAGATTATTTATCTGTTCCAAATATATATGTTTTACGTATATATCCGATTTATCAAGGATGTTATGTTTAAGTTTGTTAGTGGCATTTGTATAGATGCACGGTAGGGTCACGTGCACGTCTGAATAGAGAGGTGAGAGGTCAGTTACATTAGAATCGGACACTTTTACCTTTACAAACGGTTTTACCTATCATTGTATCATTTCCTAGCCTGCCATTACCAATAAACAGATTTATCATATAATGGTTAGGTTTCTCAGCAGGATATCCGTTGGGGTCATATGCGGATAGAGATGCAAATATCAAAGGTCAAGTAGGGACTACTTTCAAAGGTCAAGTAGGGACTACTTTCACTGTTTATAAACAAACATGGCGTCGCCCTCGTCATTCGGCGATCGAGTCAGAATTTACCATCGGGAATCTGGATAAACTACAGGGATAATTGCTATCATTATCAAAAGAACAGTTAAAACACTGAAAATCAATGTCTAACTTTGACGTAGCTAAGGCATTTTATAAGTTTTGGCAACTTTGGAGATATAAATTTCGAAGCAATTTTGCGAGGGCACGAGGCCTAGCCAAGCGGGATCAGTAGCCATATCTGTGCTTGTAGACCTCTTCGGCTTGAAACCTTGAATTGATATCTTGTTTCGTTTTGTCGCTGTGTGTACATCTGACTACACTTCTTAACGTTATGACAGGGCAGACCGACTGTCAACAACGTCTGACCGTGGCCGTGACGTCTCATAGACTAGGGTTAGAGTAGCTTCCCTTTGATAAAGGGCAGTTACTCCAGCGGACAGACCGATGGATTGCCGCGAAAGGGCAATACAAAACAATTGTTGTTTTGCGTATATGTTGCTTAGCCACTGTATAAGAAACAGATTTCAGTTGGAACTATATTGGCTACTGTCATTGTCCGACTGACACATCGCTTACCCTGTGACGTAATAAATATTAATGCGCGCATTCCAGGAAAACTCGCAATGTTTTGGTAATGTTTGTGAGAGAGGGAAAGCGATTTTGAAGCACAGAATTAAAGAATGACATCATATGATAAAGAGGTTATCACGCTTGTGTATTTGGGGATGGTAAATATCCTGTATTAGGAATAAACACTATGTATTTATATCGCCAAGGATCACTAAATAAAATGTTTATTCCTAATGCAGGATTTCGTACTCACATAGATTATATGTCCGGGCATTAAAATCCCCAATTAAATTGACTTTGTGTGAAGAAACCGTTCAATACTTTCTGTAAATGCCTTCTACATGTCCACACAATTTACACATGATATATTGACAAGGTCCCAGCTTGCAATCAAGAATTCTAAGAGCTTGCGTCATAACTTCATCTGCGGCAAAGACTTTTCCTTTGTGCGAACACCTGGCATCATCCATGAATTTAAGCAATCCATTTATAAAATTTGATTACCTCGTACGCCAAATGGAATCTGTTTCCTTGGAAAACCGAAACAGTTATTCTCTAGCATTGGGGTTTCATCTTTCTACAACAATAGTTGTTTTCGACAGGAGAATTAGTCGATTACAACATCTGGTGTCACAAAGCACAACATAATATGTGTATGCCTGTAATGTCATGGCAGTTTGAAACCCAGGATCACACATTTCAGCTAGAGGTAAGCTAATGTTTTATTTAATAGTTTATTCAGAAAATAATAGTTAAAATTAGTTACCTGAACAGACAACTAAATATTTATATTTCACTTTAAAATAACACGTGTTTTGACACACACAGATGCTTAACAAACAAAAGTTACCATTTTACCATTATACATGCCTTGAGAGCCAGACGCGAATGGGTTTTAAATGCTCCATGTACCTGTCATATACATGTAACATAGATACATGTTATGTGCAATACTATGTGGAATTGAGTATGTGATGTAAATAATGAATGTGTTCATCGGGTAAAACATTTCAAAACAATATGCAATATAAGGTGCAGAAGATCTTTTTTAGTTTTTGCAGTTTGTACACGTGCACACACCATTAGCTAAAAAATATACATGCCATTATTATTTTGTTATCTTAAAATGCACATTTCGAAAATATATCAACGGACACTAAAAACCCTGCTAATCACTACATAAGGAACATCTCACGAGATAAGAGGGACCGTCAAATACCTAAGCAGCAGTAATCCTCCAGGTCCGGATACGATTACAAATGAATATATTATTGATTCGTTATGTAGAACATCAGGAGAACATTTTATTTATTCGTTATGAATAGTTTTTAAGCATATGAAACAAATATAATATGTACCTTATGACTATAGACTTGGCATGGTTACAGCAATATATAAGGGGAAGAATGAGAAATTTGATTCCGAAAGTATAGAAGTATTACTCTTTTTGTAGGTTTAACCAAGTCTGTCCCTGATATTTTACAGATTGGTTTAGATAGGACATGGAACTAGTCAGTGTTTAGATTGACCGAAGGCATTCAGTACAACATACAAAGACACCTTGCAGTTTAAGCTGTATTTTTTTAAATAATGAAAAAGCATTTGAAAGAATATGGCACGAAGAAGACTGTTTCAACCCACATGAACTGTGCATTAGAGGTAATGCATTGGAATTGCTTGATCATTGTTATGTAAATAGTTGTGCTTCTATTTCCTACGAAGGTGACCAAACAGACATATATGGTTCAACAAGGTGTTGGCTAAGGCAGAGTAATCTTTGGATGTTTTTTTGTTTGTTTTAATAAATGATCTCATAACAGCCCTTAGACAAGCACATTGTGGCATTCGTGCATATGGTAAGGGTATTCCAAAAATCTTGCTTGTTGACGATACTTCACTTGTAAACATACCACCAACGGGCTTTCAAAGATCCCTTGATATTGTACATACATATGCCCCAAGGTTATCACCTAGTATAAATGCGATAATTGTGTTCAACAAAGCGAAACGCAAGGGGCGTAACTTTCACTGTAAACTTATTGATGCACACGTTACTACAACTGATTCTTGATTCTATGGTATATGGTTGATTACTCTTAACGTATAATCTTTCTTGTAAAACAAGAATTGAAAAGGACAGTCATAAAGCAGAGCAAAATATTAACTCCCTAATATCTTTAAGATTAAATAGTTATCATCTTAATCCAATTTCAAGCGTGAAAATATGGCTCAGAATAATACACAAAACCATCATTAATGCATGTGAATTACCCTTGACATCATGGGACAACATACCGATCTATTTGAAGGCACAGAAAGATATTTTGCACGCCCTGTAAAGGATATTGATATAAAGATCTGCTTCAGAATCCACTTTTGCGAACCTTGGTCTTTGGACAATTACTGCATATATTGATAAATGCAAACCTTTATTTCTTGGTTGTTCAAGCAACCTTTACTGTAAAAACTTTGCAAATCTTGTTTTGTTTTGTGTCCGACCATTGCCAGCACTGTCACAACAAAGACAATCTGTAAAGAACTTAAACCAACACTTGATAAATACAATTCGGGTAGCTACATTTGTACATAAGTTCCACACAGTACTTTCCCTCCAAAATATAAATGGAGAAATATTTTTAATGATACTATTTGCATATACGAAGAACAATTATGGCTCAGAAATGCAATAACAAATCTCTGGCATGTCTCGTTCTAAAATAATTCATACGAAATTTACGTACTTTGTACTTTGGCAATTGTTTTTCTGTACCTGGAATACTGACCTGCCTAACAACTTTGTGTAAATGTCTCATCACGCTGTAAACTTCGAAATAATGCAAGCACTGAAATAGGCATATGTTCGACTATGACAACCACATTATTTATCATTGTTAAATACTTATATCAGAAAGAAATGCGTTTTTCTCTTCTCTCATTGACTCACTCAACGTTAAAAAATATGTTGATTTCCAAATGCAAGACGAAACAGATATGATATCATTTAATTTTGGACTGAAACTGAATTTACTCACAATCGGGATCAACACATCTGGGAAACTATTATCATACTACAAGTCGCTTCTTATCTGTACAGCTAAAGCTAAACTCACTCACTCTAAAATGTATTTTATGTGTGTGTGTGTACCCAGTTGTATCGACTCTTCTTATTATTTTCATGTGTCGAATTTTGACATAACCCTCGTATGATTATTATTATTATTAGACGAAAGATTAAGGTTGAATCAAAGGGAGTTTTATTTATTTGAGAGATCTGACACTTTTTAGTGTAAAACAAATTTTCAGAATTGTAACGAGCGATTGATGTAACATCTCAATCTTACACCAATACGCGGAGTTATCTGAGCCTGGATTGAGAGCTATGGGCCTTGTAGAAAGGAGTGAACTACACCTGTGCTTAAATCACCCCAGAGTTAATTTTTAAGGGATTGATTTGAGCCTGCTACATCGGCGGGTACATCTCACTCTGCCCTTCATCTTGTTATAGAGTATTAAATTATAAAGTATCATAAAAGAGAGGATTATATTATGGATTACATTTAAACTAACGTTTGCATTTACATTCACACACACACACACACACACACACACACACACACACACACACACACACACACACACACACACACACACACACACATATGTTATAAACATACATATGTCCAATTAATCATACACACCATGCACACATACAGGATGAAATCATACGTACATACTGAATAGGTAGGAAGTAAGTTTGTATCAAATCTTTATAACCGGTGAGACTGGTAAATTCACATCTGATTTATTTGTCTGAATGGAAGGTCTGAAAACAAGGGACGAACCGTTGCACAGTAATTTTATAGAATCAAAGTTCCGTTGTGCTGCATATATATGTATACAGTACACATATGACACGATTATGAGTCATTCCTAAATAAGTATGATGATTAGTATAAGTACATACTCTTAAAAGTAGACACATGTTTACGATAATAATGGCTGAGAGATATATTCACGTTGGTCGGTTTAGTATTATTTCCTTGGTTAATTACAAGTTGCCATTTTTTAAACATTTTTTTATGAGATGAAAGAAATGATGGTGCAGAAAACAGAACAGCAATTAACACTATAATCGTGATGCAATCGTTTTACTCAATACAATCAACAAAGAACAATATATAGAGCGCCTTTTTACTCTTTATTCCTTATTATATATCAAGAATTAATTTATGCGTAACAAAGAAAGAATTTATGCTATCAAATAATGTTTCAAAATATCGACCATGTTTAGAGCCACAGCAAGTCTACAAATTATCAGTGACAGTGTGACTGGATTGAAAGGAGTGACTCTTCTTGCTCGTTGTTAGATGAGGAACACTTTCTGTTGAAATGCCCTCTCTACAAAGATCTGAGGATGAAACTAATATCACCACCCGCCTTCGCTATACAACCAATATCACTTAAAATACCACAAAATTCACAAGCGCCTTATGCGAAATGTCTCCTATTTCATTTACAAAATGTTAATGCAAAGTTAAACTGCATCTCCTCTCTATACCTTAATAATAGCAATATTTGTGTTACATGGTGTATATCAATGTTGACAACTATCCGTTATACCAAGTCCTGTCCATGACTTGTACCCTTAGCCCTGTGGGTGTTTGTGTACATCTTCTTCTTGCCACATCAGGCTCATTGTGAGGACTATATTGCGTACTTTTGTGAAGATTTGTTGACATGGTGTTTCAGGTGTTATGTGCACACGGGAATGTCTTTGTGTTTAATTTCTTTTTATTAAAACTCATTGTGGCTTGTATTATAGTCTCCTCCAATACACAGCTATATATTTGTGTAGAAAACCCGCGCGCTATACTCGATAAAATATAGAATCTTTCAAGTGTGAAATAATAGTTGATTTCCGTATATTTTATGCTAAATTATCAATACACATTATTTAACTAAATTTGCTTCATGAAGAAAAATGTATGCGCGTGCATTATGGTATTAAAATCTTAGATTTCTCAAATATGTATTAGTTTTTCGAGGCCTAATTTGGGGTTGTGATGAAAAAGTGCCAAATTAGATTGCATAAACATAAATATTCAGAGACTTAATTGTTCGTTATTAAATAAGAATATCAAGACTGTTTTATCCCATTCGTGTTGTCAAGTTAGCAGAGTTTCTGCTAAGGACTTAAAACTGTATTGCGTAATTAATAGAGATAGAGATAGCGACCTAAAATTGGCAAAGAGCTGAAAATGAAACTAATATCACAACACGCCAACACAATTCGGTATACACCAAATATCACTAAAATTCTACTAGATCAACAAATGATCATTTTCATTTACTAAATGTTCATGCAAAGAAAATCTGCATCTCCTCTCCAGACCTTAATAATAGCAATACTTGTATCATATGGTGTATATCAATGTTGATAACTATCCGTTATACCAAGTCCTGTCCATGACTTATACCCTTCGCCCTGTAGATGTTTGTGTATATATATATGTGTGTGTGTGTGTGTGTGTGTGTGTGTGTGTGTGTGTGTGTGTGTGTGTGTGTGTGTGTGTGTGTGTGTGTGTGTGTGTGATAGTTATTACATAAAGATCATTTATCTTGAAAGGGACGATCATTGGAGGAGGGAAAGAATATTATTTTTTTTCATGGACCTAAATAACCGATTACGAAAACATTACGTTGACATGTAATTGTCATGCTACAATAAATATGACTTTTGACAAGTCCAAGTATGGCATTTATGAAATGCGTATTCATTCTCTGTCAACTAAGGTCCGTTTCATGGCGTCAATAGCCGTGCCGATCAGTTCACATACATACTGAACAACAAAAGTTCCTGTCACATTGAATAAGATTTAATGCAAAGGTATGTTTTTTACCAAATCTTAAACAATTTCGTTTTGCAACAGATAAAAGACTCCACTAAATGTTCAAATAGTTTATTTAGCCTTACTGACTTAAGAAAATGCGTGATTTCATAAAAAAACAACATGAACATGCCAAAATGACAATTTACAAATCAATAGCGCGTGTTTCCACCTCTGGTTGCAATGCAAGCAACACATCTTCGTCTCATGCAATGGACAAGGCTTCACAAAAAGTCCTGTGGGATATCTGTCCATATCTGCTGGAGCATGTTTCGAAGTTCCTGGAGTGTCTGTGAAACACATGGTTGACGTCGAAGGCGCCGATCCATCTCATCCCACATGTGCTCGATTGGTGAGAGATCAGGGGAGCGAGCCGGCTAGGGGATGACATTCACGTTGTTTTGTTGAAGATAATCCTGAACAAGTCGAGCAATATGAGGCCGGGCGTTGTCATGTTGAAAGGTAATGCCTGGGCCATGACGACGCAAAAACGGTAGAACAACAGGGCCGATGATCTCGTCGCGGTGGCCACTATCAAACGGGTCCTCTGTCTTGCTGTAATCCCACCCCATACCATAACGCTGCCGCCCCCGAACTGACCTTTTTCCATGACACAATGATTGGCGAAATGTTCACCTCGACGTCAATACATTCGAATCCGTCTATCGCTGTGGCTGAGGTGAAAACGGGACTCTTCAGTTAATAGATCTTGTACCCACTGCATGGCCGTTCAGCTTCGTAGACGCTGTCTGCACAAATGTAGACGTGCTTGACGTTGATTTCCTGTCAAAATGGGACGTCTGGCAGGTCTTCTGGCGACAATCCCTGCACATCTGAGGCGACGACGTACTGTGTGTGAAAATATTCGTGGAAGGCCAGGGATGCTTCTTTCAGTCACTGTTGCTGGCTGAAATCGATTTCGTAGGTGTGTTGTTCGAATCCAGTTGTCTTGTCGATTATAGGTTACGCGTGGCCTGCCACTCCGAGAATGGTCTCTGACTGCATTCGTTTGTTGCAAACGTTGCCATAAACACAAAATGGTGTTTCTGTGGATCGTTACATTGTCTTGCAACATCACGTTGACTCGATCCTGCTTCAAGCATACCAATGGCTCACAGACGCTCATTTTCGGACAGGCGTGGCATTTCGTAATGTTGAATAATTGCGTAATTTTGTTGCATATGCATGTGGAATCCCGTTAACGCACATGTTTTTATATCTATTTTTGGGTAGTGAAATGCATGTGGCTTCCATAAAAGTTAACTTTTGCATGGAATTCATGCTTTTCTGTAGCAGTTGCGTTTTTTCCATACATGTACTACAACATTGAAAACTAAACTTTACTTGTTTGAAAAATACACTAAAATATTGGTGTCAGAGGAACTTTTGTTGTTGAGTATATATTTCGCCGAAATAAAAGTCAAACAATATTGAATGTAATTTTTAATAAAACTGATAAAATAGATTAGACATAAAAAAGAGACATTTCAAAACCAGATAGCGTTATGTCAGCTGAGGATTATTTTGCGTACTTTAGTATAGATTTGTTGACATGGTATTTCAGGTGTTCCGTTTGGAAAAAAAACTTTAAAAAACTCACTGTGGCGTGTATTGTACAACTGTATATTTGTGTAGAAAACCTGCGCACTATACTCGAGAAAATACAGTTTGTTTCAAGTGGGAAATACCAGTTGATTTCCTTATATTTTATGCTCAATTACCTTTTTGAGTATCAATAACACATTATTTAACTAAATTTGCTTCATAAAGAAAAATGCATGCTCGTGCATAATGGTATTAAATGCCTTACATTTCTCAACTTTTATGAATAAATATATCTATGAGTTTTTAGAGCCCTAACTTGGGCTTTTGGTGAAAAAGTCCCAAATTAGGTTGCATAAACATTAATATTCAGAGTCTTATAATTCGTTATTAAATAAGAATATCAATAATGTTTCACCACAAAAGTGTTGTAAAGTTATCAGAGTTCCTTCTCAACCCTCTCACTTATGACTTTATTGGGTAATAAATAGATAAAGCGGCCTAAAATTGGCAAATAACACACGATTTCAGACAATGCTGCCGTGTGGCACTGCAACTATTCCCTGCCAAGTTGGATAAACATTAAGCAATAGCACTTAGGGGTTGACTAGAGGCTATCAGTAGCGTTTCTAATCCAGCTATTTAGGTACGTGATATGATTTTCAACGAATCAACGATATTCCCAGGAACATGGGGTCTTTTCGGCGACAGGAATATTCATAGGAGGGCGAAAATGTCAGCAAACTGGACAGCGTTGGTCTTTGTCTGATTGTGGCCTAAAAAACGCTTAGTTGTTTGGTGAATGGAATGTTAATCTTAATTGTCTTTCATGAACAAATATATATTTAAAGATGGTGACATAATAACTACAGTTTTATGTAATCTGTAGCTATCTTGGGATGATATGAAAGCAAAATGTTCCATAATCATACTTATTTCGCTGATTAAACCATGTACAAACAGTAACAGTTTGCAGATGTGTTGGGTTTTAACATATCCACAAAATCAATTGCGGCTGAAGAGTAGCGCGTTTTTGACTATTGAAAATAGTGTATATATGCCATCAATCTTACGAACAGCTTCTGACAGAACTCGGGACTATTATCTATACACTGTTTAAAAGGCAACAGTCAGATCAACATTTGCGTACTACTCAGGTTGTGAGCTAGATTAACACTTAGAAACTGAAATACATTTGAGATGGAAACAAACAACTGAATTTAAATTGGAAAGGAGCCCCAGTGAGATGGGAGATTCAGACTTTTGAAAAATCTAGACTTGCTTCATCGAGGACAATATCATTTCTATAAGGGCGGGGCGGAAGTTCACTAAAATAGTATGGTACTAGGACAAACTGGTTGTGAGCATATATCTCTTAGAACTCGTGAACGTCATTATCCTGTCTCCCTCAAGGCGAACCGTTCCAACAAATATAGCTGTATGTAAATCGTTTGCGCATCCGTCTCGACCGTTTGCGAAAACACACAATTATTGTGTGGACTAAAAGTTTGGGTACTGACATTGATAAGATTAACACATGTGGTGATTATTACCAATGCTTATGATATTGTAATTCGAACAAACTAATGACCTAAAGAGTTTCGTTGATATTTTGCATGAGAAATGTTTTGGATTTTATATATATTGTTTTATTGATTTTTAGAAGTTCTATGTAATGCCATTAAATCAACTTAAAAAGTATCGACTGGCATAACAGCAAATCCATTGTGCTAAAACTGTCGATCCTGGTTACGTTAATTAATGCACGTACAGCTTCCAGCAGCTGCGACGTAACATCAATTACGTGCTGTAAACAATCCAGGAAATCGGGAATGCACAGAATGGAAACGTTGAGTAAGGTATTATAAACCCCGGCCTGTAACAACACGCTAGAGCTGACCAATGAAGGCCGAAAACGAGCAATACCGGTAGACGCTGGTTTACGCTGAAGAGGGAGGAGCTTGATAAAAATCGTTCATTCGCAGTAATTTTCCATGACAAATAACGACGTTTTTTGGACAGAAAACCAATGTTGTGAAAGCGTCCACAAAACGTTATTTCCCAATGACCATATACGGAAAATAACGACGTTTTCGTGATTGCAGTGGGGACAGCCAAGCTATTTCAGTGGCTAAACATGTTACACATCAACTCCAGCATATAAAACCATTCCGTCACTAGCAGCAGCACCACACTGGGTACAACTCTTCACAATGCAGAAGGTAAGTTGTTTTCTATATGTTATAAAGTTATAGGTAAGGCAAACTAAATCACATTCTGCAGGGGAACCTACGCTGTGTGCGGGTATTTAAGCCAAGAGCTGGAAAGGGGATGAGTATAGGCTACCACAGCTGATAAGGGGATAACAGTGGAAAGGAGGTGAATATATATACTGAACAACAAAAGTTCCTGTGACATTGAATACGATTTAATGCAAAGATATGTTTTTTACCAAATCTGAAACAATTGCGGTTTGCAGCAGATAAAGGACTCCTGTAAGTGTTGAAATGGTTTAATTTGCCATTCTGACTTGCCATGAACATGCCAAAATGTCAATTTACAAATCAATAGCGTGTGTGTCCACCTCTGGTTGCGATGCAAGCAACACATCTTCGTCTCATGGAATGGTCCAGGTGTTACAGAAAGTCCTGTGGGATATCTGTCCATATCTGCTGGAGCATGTTTCGAAGTTCCTGGAGTGTCTGTGAAACACATGGTTGACGTCGAAGGCGCCGATCCATCTCATCCCACATGTGCTCGATTGGTGAAAGATCAGAGGAGCAAGCCGGCAAACGTTGTTTTGTTGAAGATAGTCCTGAACAAGTCGAGCAGTATGAGGCCGGGCGTTGTCATGTTGAAAGGTAATGCCTGGGCCATGACGACGCGAAAACTGTAGAGCAACAGGGCCGATGATCTCGTCGCAGTCATTGAGATTTCCCTCAACCAATATCAAACGGGTCCTCTGTCTTGCTGTAATCCCACCCCATACCATAACGCTGCTGCTCCCGAACCGATCTTATTCCATGACACAATCATTGACGTAACGTTCACTTCGACGTCGGTACACTCGAATCCGTCCATCGCTGTGGCTGAGGTGAGAACGGAACTCGTCAGTTAAAAGAACTTGTCCCCACCGCATGGCCGTCCAACGTAGACGCTGTCTGCACCACTGTAGACGTGCTTGGCGGTTGTTTCCTGTCCTAATGGGACGTCTGGCGGGCCTTCTGGCGGGCCTTCTGGCGACAATCCCTGCACATCTGAGGCGACGACGTACGGTTTGTGAAGATATTCGTCAAAGGCCAGGGATGCTTCTTGCAGCCACTGTTGCTGGCTGAAATCGATTTCGTAGGTGTGTTGTTCGAATCAAGTTGTCTTGTCGATTATAGGTTATGCGTGGCCTGCCACTCCGAGGATGGTCTCTGACTGCATTCGTCTGTTGCCAACGTTGCCATAAACACCAAATGGTGCTTCTGTGGACGTTAAATTGTCTTGCAACATCAAGATCCTGCTTCAAGCATACCAATGGCTCGCTGACGCTCATTTTCGGACAGGCGTGGCATTTCATAATGTTGAATAATTGCGTAATTTTGTTGTTTTTCTGACTGGTTGTTGTCAGCACGATGCTAAACAATGCATAGGGAATCCCGTTAACGCACATGTTATTATACCCATTTTGGGTAGTGATATGCATGGGGCTTGTATAAAAGTCACCTTTTGCATGGAATGCATGCTTTTCTGTAGCAGTTGCGTTTTTGTGACTTGATTCCACATATGTACTACAATATTGAAAACCAAATTTTACTTGTTTGAAAAATATACTAAAATATTTGTGTCAGGGGAACTTTTGTTGTTGAGTATACATATAAAAAAGGAACTGTACTGACACGTTATCGGCGCTGAAAGAAAACTTGGAGATGGTTGTATTATCATGCACAACTTCATATATAACTTTTTAAAAAACAATGACGATGAGTATCTTATAAATATATTACGATTTTCCGCTGAGATGTACAACATTTCAAACATGGCAGGGGTCATGTGGTTGCAAATTCATCTCGTATCCAAGTCTTCAAATCATTTTTACAAAAAATTACTCAGCCACAGATTACCTTTTACAAACTGTTGGTTAAATAGACATAATAAAATTTGACCAAATTTCAATCACATAAAAAACAAACTTTCTTTTGCCCCGCAGGTAATGTATTATATATCTTTTTGGTTCGTATTTTCATGTTATACTGCTGCTGAGAATTGACAGAAAACAAATCTCACCACTTATGTCAACCACCGGTTTGCCTCCCTCGATTTTTTATAGAAATTAATTGCTTTAATTTTGAAGCAGACTTTCAATTGTTTCAAATGTTGATTCTTCAAGGGTCCGATAACACTGCTGCTTCTCCTGCTGATTTGTAACTCGTGCTGCAGCCAGGGTAAGTTGGTTACTGTCGCTCACACGTATCAAATATCTCTTGCCCTATTGACGCTTTACGTTTTATTCTATGGAATAACTAACAACAATAAGTTTGAACTAAATCGTTAGCTCTTCAAAGTAAATTAAGTGCGAAATATTGGCGTCCAGATATTGAATCCGAAGTGATCAAAGATCCGCATTATTATAATAAATGAATGGTAATATAGACCTACTGTAATATCCCCATATCGAAAACAATCGGATTCAAACCACTTGAACAAAATCAGGTGTCATCATTGGTGAGAAGAAAAGTGTGAAGCTTTAGCTACATTGATCACGTGGTTTCTGAGGAGAAGAAGATTGTGATGGCAAATTCATCAAAATCAGATCTAAGTTCTCGCAGCCACTAAACAAATTTCTGAGGACATTCCATTACGGGTCACGTCAGAACGACCTATTGCGAACTTTGACCGACGACTAAAATGACTGACAAGAAATTGACATCAACCAGTTAGAAAGCAGCTTTTTCGAGCTTTACGGCACTCATTTCAAACTGGCGACTTCCGTGTCCGTCTACGTTTGAAAAATATATCGACACAGATCTCGACTGAAATGTTGAACTGAAAAAACGAACATTTTGGAATGTCTGATATATTATTGTGATTGTATGGCAGTGCTTCCTACGTACTGTGCAATGCCTCCTTCATTCAAATGTTTATCCCACGGAAGCCAAAGATAGACGATCATCTTGACAGAATCAGTCGTACGGGCCGTAACTGTCGTTCGGAATACTCTGTGGTAACGTTTTCGAGGTTGCATGATTATAAAATACATTCCGACTGTCACCTTCATGACCTGGTAAGCGACAGCTTTATATTGGTCGGATGAAAGGTCGTTCTGACGTGACCCGTAATGGGATGTCCTCAGATCTTTGATAAGTGATAGCGAGAACTAAGATCTGATTTTAATGAGATTGGGATTACGATGGATGATGTTTTGTATTTTCAAGTATGGCGACTGGCAACGATATTGTATTTCCGGTTATCTTGAACTCACTTGGTACTTCATAAAGTGACTATCTCACCCACCACGTTTCAGACCAATGGTCATGTACTATTTTAATGAGATTTTTTACTAACAGAAATATCAAAGTTGGCTGGTTGCATATAGAAATCCCATTTTCATGCCTTGAATATACTTGAAACCCTTTTTAGCAACAAACACCCACTGCGTCCACTGAGTCCATGAAACCAACCAGCACTTAAAGTTCACAAGATCGGTTCGACAATTGTACAGTTTGTGTATCGTTGTTGTTCCTCCAGACACATGTCCTGTCGTCGTTGACGTACATACCTGATTTGTACCCCATAGAAATGGTGATGGTAGCCACACACTGATTCTCACCCCTTTGAAACTGTCATGTCAAACACACCCTGATGTTAACCTCTTCGAAATTCCCCTCAAAACTGTCTTGGCGTCCATACCCAGATTTGATACATGAAGAACTGTCATGGCGGAAATACCCTGATGTAAATACATGAATAACTGTCATGGCGGATATACCCTGATGTTCATACATGAAGAACTGTCATGGCGGGTATACCATGATGTTCATGCATGAACAACTGTCATGGCGGGTATACCCTGATGTTCATGCATGAACAACTGTCATGGCGGGTATACCCTTATGTTCATACATGAACAACTGTCGTGGCGGGTATACCCTGATGTTAATACATGAAGAACTGTCATGGCGGGTATACCCTGATGTTCATACATGAACAACTGTCGTGTCGGCTATACCCTTATGTTCATACATGAAGAACTGTCATGGCGGGTATACCCTGATGCTCATACATGAAGAACTGTCATGGCGTGTATACCCTTATGTTCAAACATGAAGAACTGTCCTGGCGGGTATACCCTGATGTTCATACATGAACAACTGTCATGGCGGTTATACCCTGATGTTCATACATGAAGAACTGTCATGGCAGTTATACCCTGATGTTTATAGATTAAGAACTTCCGTGGCTGGTATACCCTGATGTTCATACATGAAGAACTGTCATGGCGGGTATACCCTGATGTTCATACATGAAGAACTGTCATGGCGGATATACCCTGATGTTCATACATGAAGAACTGTCATGGCGGGTATACCCTGATGTTCATACATGAAGAACTGTCATGGCGGGTATACCCTGATGTTCATACATGAAGAACTGTCATGGCGGGTATACCCTGATGTTCATACATGAAATACTGTCGTGGCGTGTATACCCTGATGTTTATACATGAACAACTGTCATGACAGGTATACCCTGATGTTCATACATGAAGAACTGTCGTGGCGGGTATACCCTGATGTTCATACATGAAGAACTGTCGTGAGAGCTATACCCTGATGTTCATACATGAAGAACTGTCATGGCGGGTATACCTTTATGTTCATAAATAAAGAACTGTCATGGCAGGTATACCCTGATGTTCATACATGAAGAACTGTCATGGCAGGTATACCCTGATGTTCAAACATGAAGAATTGTCATGGCGGATATACCCTGAAGTTCAAACACTGATTAACAACTTCCAAAAACCTTCACGGTGAGCACACTCTGATTTCCACCCTTCTAAAACTGTCATGAAAACCATGCCCTGATTATAACAATTAAAAACAACTTTCACAATTGTCGCCTCCATGAACAATATTTCAATAACACTAGTCATAGGAAGTGCACTCTTCCCGACTGAGGACTTCTTTTGGTAGCGGAAGTAGCGGTAGTTGCAGCAGCCGCATATGTGGAAGATGCTCAATACATTTAGTGTCAATAATAATTATAAACTCCAAAATGCCCATATCAAGGAAAACTTTCGGCCAGAATATAAATGTAGACTAAAGAAGATCTGGAGTGAATGCTCGCCATAAAGTTAAAGCCCCAAATATTTATGCTGTACCTGTCCTTTCGTATTCTTTTGGTGTTATTTATTGGACAAAACAAGAAATTCGCGGTATTGACACCCTGACACGAAGAATCATGTCAGACAATAGAGCCAGCCATCCCTTTCCTTAATCGCTTATATTTACAAATCTATCTCTTTATATATCTATATATGTTATCTATATATGTGTAACACTGTAACAAACAACAAAGTCCCTTCATCTACAGACAAGAAACAATCTTTACATATCGCACGTTTGTTTTCCAGACGTATTGCTAGACATCCTGATTGTAGAAGATGTGTCGCGCTCCATCGGCAAACCCAACTTTGACGAAATGAAACGATTCCAAGAGAGTATGGTACAGTCTACCAACATAGGCCATGATGCTGTTAACTTTGCATTGATAGCGTTTTCTTCAAACGCTAGAGTGGTATTCAGATTCAATGAATATAGGAACTCCAAGTCGGGCGTTCTGGCAGCTCTCAAACAACAGACATACGAAGAGGGTCCTTCTACGAACATCGGCGATGCCATCAAGCTGGCAACTAGTACAATTTCCAATGGCGACCGCAATGACGCTGACAACAATGTCATCATGTTTACCGATGGGTACACCACAAGTGAGGACCGGGAGGCCATTGCTGCCAGTATTGGTTATCTGAAAGCCAAAGCTGAGGTATTTGTTGTTGCTATCAAGGAAGTTGATGCCAATTCCACAATCCACCTAATTGCATCGAGAGCTGCCAACATCTTCCAGATTGGCTCCCCTGATGCAGTCAGGGCTATCCTACGGAAGATGAGGAATGGTCCCGTCCCCTGACTGAACAGGTTGGATGAAATAGCTGCACTAAATGTTATTTCATAACCAATAAATGGTCTGCATATGCTGCGAGTTTGTTGTTTCGTTTGTTTTGTGTGTTTATGTGTGTTTGTGTGTTTTTGTGTGTTTTTGTGTGTGTGTTTTTGTGTGTGTTTTTGTGTGTTTGTTTGTGTGTGTGTGTGTGTGTGTGTGTGTGTGTGTGTGTGTGTGTGTGTGTGTGTGTGTGTGTGTGTGTGTGTGTGTGTAAGAGAGAAATGGTGTGTGTGTGAGAGAGAGAGTGTGTATGTGTGTGTTTGAACAAATTCTTCTGAAGAAGAAACCGCACATTTCATTACTGACTGTCTAGTGAAGCATAGCAAACAGTGGCATTGCTGACTGTTTAGTGAAGCACAACCATCTGTGGCATTGCTGACTGTTTAGTGAAGCACAACCAACTGTGCCATTTCTGACTGTTTAGTGAAGCACAACCAACTGTGCCATTGCTGACAGTTTATTGACGCAAAACCAACAGGAGTGCCATTACTGACAGTTTAGTGAAGCACAGCCAACAGTGGCATTGCTGACTGTTTAGTGAAGCACAACCAACTGTGCCATTGCTGACTGTTTAGTGAAGCACAACCAACTGTGCCATTGCTGACAGTTTAGTGACGCAAAACCAACAGGAGTGGCATTGCTGACTGATTAGTGAAGCACAACCAACTGTGCCATTACTGACAGTTTAGTGAAGCACAACCAACTGTGCCATTACTGACAGTTTAGTGAAGCACAGCCAACAGTGGCATTGCTGACTGATTAGTGAAGCACAACCAACTGTGCCATTACTGACAGTTTAGTGAAGCACAACCAACTGTGGCATTGCAGTCTGTTTAGTGAAATACAGCAAACCGTGCCATTGCAGACTGTTTAGTGAAGCACAGCCAACTGCTGCATTGCAGACTGTTTAGTGAAGCACAACCAACTGTGGCATTGCTGACTGGTTAGTGAAACACTACTAACAGTGGCACTGCAGACTGTTTAGTGAAACACAGCCAACAGTGGCACTGCTGACTGTTTAGTGAAGCACAACCAACTGTGGCATTGCTGATTGTTTAATGAAGCACAACCAACAGTGTCATTACTGACTGTTTAGTGAAGCACAACCAAAAGTGTCATTACTGACTGTTTAGTAAAGCACAACCAACTGTGGCATTGCAGTCTGTTTCGTGAAATACAGCAAACCGTGCCATTGCAGACTGTTTAGTGAAGCACAACCAACTGCTGCATTGCAGACTGTTTAGTGAAGCACAACCAACTGTGGCATTCCAGACTGTTTAGTGAAGCACAACCATCTGTGGCATTGCTGACTGTTTAGCGAAGCATAACCAACTGTGGCATTGCTGACTGTTTAGTGAAGCATTCCCAAATGTGGCATTACTGACTGTTTAATGAAGCACAACCAACAGTGGCATTCCAGACTGTTTAGTGAAACACTGCAAACAGTGGCATTGCTGACTGTTTAGTGAAGCACAACCAACTGTGGCATTGCTGACTGTTTAGTGAAGCACAACCAATTGTGCCATTGCAGACTGATTATTGAAACACAGCCAACAGTGCCATTGCAGACTGATTATTGAACCACAGCCAACAGTGGCATTGCTGACTGTTTAGTGAAACACTGCCAACAGTGGCATTGCTGACTGTTTAGTGAAACACTGCCAACAGTGGCATTGCTGACTGTTTAGTGAAACACTGCCAACAGTGGCATTGCTGACTGTTTAGTGAAACACTGCCAACAGTGGCATTGCTGACTGTTTAGTGAAACACTGCCAACAGTGGCATTGCTGACTGTTTAGTGAAACACAGCCAACAGTGCCATTGCAGACTGTTTAGTGAAACACTGCCAACAGTGCCACTGCAGACTGTTTAGTGAAGCACAACCAACTGTGCCATTGCAGACTGATTAGTGAAACACAGCCAACAGTGCCATTGCAGACTGATTATGTATATGAATGGTAGTTGGTTATTGCTACCATGATTATATTTCAATATGATCAATGACAGATACATATTATTTTGGCCTTTTTTCATTTACAAAGTAGAAAAATAAATTCAGACACAGAGGACCCTATATATTAGTTAAAATATATATTCAAGAGTTTGTGTACCAACTACAATTTTAATAAAATAAAACAATATATTCATACTAATTGTCAAACTCTATTATGCTGATTGTATTAACAATGCAGTGTCTACATCCAGTTTGCATTGTCAATAATCATATGATTGTGACTCAGATAAAGCTAATTCTTAACTTCATTAGGCCTTGCTTTTCATGTTTCCTTGTTCTAAACTGAGGTTTCAAATTCCAACATAAACAAATTATTAATGTTATTCTTTTTTCTCTTCACACCAAAATATATCTGCATTGCACAATGACTCTTATTATTTTATTTAATATCTTGGCATACTTGTGCATGTGTACTAGTATTTGATTACACATGCATGACTTTTTAACATATGTCATCTGTTTCTGAACTGAATATTATGCTTATAAAGATAAGTAACATAAAAAAGGGACTCTGGTATTCTTTTATGTTTAGAGAATCAGTCAATTCATTGTGAAAACATTTTTATTTTTTTCCATGAGTTACTGTGATCTTGATAAGATCAAAATAGATCCAAATTAAATTGAGGAGATTAAATTATGCAGTCTAATTCATTTCAGCCAGTCTGTCTAAAATCCGGTCCTATTTTTCAGGCAATTATAAATGAATGAAAATTTAATAAAAATTATACCTTGAATGAGTGCATCAGACAATATGCATATTGACTGAAATTTTCAGTCAAAATACATATTGGGCCTGATTATAAAAACTGAATGTAACATATTTAGTATAATCTGTTATGTGTAAACACAAATAACATAAATAAATCCATTTGTCAACATGGAATGACTGTGGGGTTCAATTTGCATGTATTTAACCATCAGAAGATTTGATGATAAACTTTCTAAATGCATATTTGCTATATGATAATAATATCTACAAAATATACTTTATACTACAGGTGTCTTGAAGTACTGTTGAATGAAAATCAGGATACTTAGATACAGCAGGGTAGTGTGTGGGTTTGTATGGGAAATAATTTGTCAACATTAGAATAAATATAATGTTACAAAATCAAGAAGATAAAACTATGATTTAGGTATATTTATGCATCATACACATTTTGTTGGGTAGTCAGTATGATTTGTTGTTTGTTGGGACAAATCTCTGTAATGTACTACTATTTTAAGAGCATGAGTATCAGAATTCTGTAAGAAATGATGGATCAATGAATTAACACATGTGATAACTCAGAGCACTTAATGATGGAACACATGTTACAAGGGGCAGAATAATATGGGTAAATCTCATATTTGCAAAGTATGATGACTGGTATGTATATTGCAACTGAGTCACTCAGTGCTTAATAGATGCATGGTAGATGTTCATTTGGCCTATTTCTAAAATAAATATAATATAAATTTAAATATTCAGATGCAATGTTAATTTTGATATAAAAAGTAACATTTAAAATCAGTTGTTTCATTCTTTTGAACGTTATTTCTTCCTGAAATATTTGTAAAGGCATGGATGTATACTTATACAGATCATTGGTAAAGGCCTGTCAAAGATGTGCGCTGCAAATGTTGGCGTATCACTAATTTTATTAAATTGAAGTCCATGGTAGTATTTATTGAGATTTGAATGCTTGTGTTGTTGTGGGAAATAACACAATGGCTGATAAATAAAATGAGTTTGCATTATTTCATCGATGCAATATGTTAGCCCAGACTGACAGAATGCCTCGCTGGTTTATGACGTAGAAAATAACGTGGCAATATACCATTTTGCATGACGTTTTTCCCGCTATATTCCATGGTGACAATTAGTCTTGTAGTTGAAGACTCAACAAATGTTGATATTATAAACGAATAATAACTACACAATATGTCCTAGTTAAAAATATTGAGTTGTAAACGACCTTTTTTGAACGAAGGTGCAACAGGATAATTCTTTAGCTTGGCTCCGTCTCTAAATGTCAGTAGTAGTCGCAGCGCGCATTGATCCGGGAACCAGACCGGAAGCGACAGTTTACCCGTCGCTTACATCATTTCAAAAGGAGTTATTGCCCTTTGGAACAAAAAGATCGCCCATTGCCGAGATCGTATTTGTCATAGAAAACCGACTCCTTCAGATAATATTGTAACGTCACCTGCTTTGTGACGTCATTGTCATCGTACATTTGCTCCACATCAGCTGAGCGAACCTTGGCTCAGTCTGAGGTCACTTATTGCAGTGAGATGTAAACAAATGTTTTATGTTTCACGACGTACAATTAACACAGATTATAAAACGGTATGAATAAATACATGATGAGGTGCGATGTTTACATACCAATCTCACATGATCTCTATTTACTCTCAGTTGACACATCCTCTCACCTGAAGTTCCAAACATAACAAATGACAAAATGTCTGAAAATGTTTTAAAATGTTTTATCTTGAAAAACAACACACATTGTCACCTAAAACATGAATTGTTTACACTCGACAACGTGAACGGCACACCACGTCACAGTGACATTATCCTCCTTTACCGTCGACTACGTTGACTTCACTGAGCGCCGCGGGACTTCAGAAGATCCGTCACTCGCTGACGTCTATAGAATCTCACCATGTCGGCTGCTGGCCGCTCATCATTGCTCCTTGCATCCATGTCTCCCACGTTCAGGACAAATTTCACCGTCTCCACATCTCCACAAGTGAAGGGTGTTGTTACCGTCATCGTCTATGAGTGACACATCAGCTCCTTTACTCACAAGGAGCTCCACCACTTTTCTGTGTCCATACCGTGCTGCCCCCATCACCGGTGTCGTGCTCCCCTATCCCCTACTGTTGATGTCCCCCACGTTCAGAGACAGGACAAACCTCACCGTCTCCACATCTCCTCCCTGACAGGCCCAGTGAAGGATGTTGTTACCGTTCCTGTCCGACAGTGACACATCGGCGCCTTCACACACAATTCGTTCTGTTACATCCAGTTG